CTTGGGTTTCGGCTTTGCTTATGGGGTACACCGGCTTTAAGGTTCAGGTTTTCTGACTTGGGTTTGGGGCTGTTTGGTTTAGGGTTTGGGGTGGACATGGGACTTGATGGTAGCCGCCAGCATCTCTGTAGATGGCCATCCTGTAGTGGTTTCCAGCAACAGACAAGAATGACAAGAGGCTACAAAAGCGCGATGAACTGACACAGGAGACGCATCTCTCAACAAACACCTAAGATCAGAGAGACACCATCGCTCCAGTAATACTGACTATATCTTCACTTGTCCAAGCATTGGACACACGACCAAGAGAGTAATAGCCTGTCCAGTTTGAGCCCAAAGGTCGCAATTGCGCGCTTTGAAGACATCCTCCACAAGGATCTCACGGACGTTCCATGTGGGACCGGTCCTTGGGTTCAGAGGGCGAATCAGACAGTCGTACTGAGTGATGATGATCGTGATTATTTGTTAGATGCCGCCTTACTACTGTGAAGTTGTCGTGCTCTTCGTTTTGGCATGTTGCTACTTGTTACTCACGTGGCTCATTCTGCTGATGTTCATGAACTGTTCATGTCGTCTGCAGTATTCGCGTGGCTGTTCAAGGTATTATTCGCACGTGGGTGTATTCATTCTTAATAGTGCTGGCATAATTACTTAGTAACCTCGTCCGTTGCTATCTGAACGAAACTAGGTTTTGCAGTGTCAAGATCGCCATCATCACCATCAGCAGCGTCGTCAACGTCAGCTGCATCAGATGATCAGTACCGTTTCTGGTGTGACTGGAAGTCTCTGATTGTTATCAATATGAACCTGGCTTTCTCAGCCTCGGCAGGAGCAACCCTTTACCAGGTTGGCATGTCGAGGGCTCCTCGAAGTGCCTGTGCAATTGAGGCCTTCATCCCCTGCGCACCAAAGCAGTGCGCAACCGGCACAGGACTGAGGATTGTCGGGGGCATTGGACTTAGAAATGAGACAACTAGCAGAACTAGCATGAGATGTGTGGCAGAGATACCGGCCATGCTGAGCTGCGTCAGCTAGTTCTGTCTGCAGGAGTAGTCTGCATGGCAGTCGTCGTGGCGCGCCGATCCATCCTTCGTCGTCGGAGCAGCAGCAGCAGCAGCAGCAGCAGCCGCAGCGGCAGCAGCAGCAGCAGCAGGAGGAGGAGTGTCAGTTGTAGTCGTCGTCGTAGTAGTAGTCGTGGTAGTCGTAGCAGTAGAAGTAGAAGTAGAAGTAGGAGTAGAAGTAGAAGTAGAAGTAGAAGTCGTAGTCGTAGTTGTAGTCGTAGTCGTAGTCGTAGTCGTAGTCGTAGTAGTAGTAGTAGTAGTAGTAGTAGCAGTAATGGTCGTGGTCGTGGTCGTGGTCGTGGTCGTGGTCGTGGTCGTAGTAGTCGTCGAGGTAGTAGTAGTGGTCCTCCCCTACCGTCCGGCTCTGCATCTGCGCTAGACACCAAGGCTGCAAGACGCAGCGTCACGATGCCCACGCCCAAGGCCAGCGAAGAGCGCAGGCCTTCAAGGCCAGCAGCCTTTGAGCGGGTGTTTGTAGGATTTTGTAGACCCGCGAAGTCCGCCATTTTGCAAGCAGTATTACTTTGCCTTCAGCAGGCGTGGTATGCTCGTTTGAGACTACGGCCTCCCAGTAAATTTTCAAGACCATCCGAGCAGCCCGAGCCGAAACTGCACGTTGGCGAGCAGTGAAGGCCCATGCCACGTCTCTCACCAGCATTGGCACGGCCCATGCAATCGCTTCACCTGCCGGACTCCCAGAGACTGGGCTCTTGATTCGTTTTGGGATGTTGGGTACGTCAGCTTCGTTCCACCAGGGATGAGATTCAAAGAGGAGCGCAAGAAACAGATGCTGAATCGCGAATTCGAAGCCCCGGGTCCTTCCTCTTGAGGCCGACTGAATCCAGGCGGCCCAAAGCCAGGCCAAGGACGAGACTGAGTTTCTTGAAACTGCACGGGACAAGGGGTCGAGCTGAGGTTCGTGAGGCCTGGAGTCCCTCCAAGTTTGGCCCGGGAGAGAACCATAGGTTCGGGAATGAGCGTCGGCTTGGGATGGAAGCTTCTGAACGTCTCTTCGGAAACGTGCTTGCCTTCCCAGTGCAGCATTGCATGAGGAAGTTACATCCGAAAGCCAGCTCTATCATGACGAGGAAGCATTCGAGCAGTGCGCTGACGCGAAGTCCCTCAGAAGGACCACTTCGGGAGGGGGTGATGGCTACATATATGGATGATAAGTATTAAATATGATATACTCGGTACTAATATTATAGATTAGATTGACAATGGCTGCGGTCCAAGTCTCGGGAGTTGGCCTGTCTGGCCATCCCGCTATATCCCACTCTCCTCACCCCGAGTGAGGTGCGGTCTTGTCCAGCGGAGGAGACTACTCTTCTGCCCAAGCCCGCTCCAACGACGGCGAATCCGAAAGAAGTGGCGACAGCCGGGTTCCCGGATGTTGGCCGCAGGCCGTTTGGAACCAATTAATTAACGTACAGCTTACAAATACGGCAATACCACCCAGCAAGAAAGACATGCGAGCCGACACACGCACAACATGACGTGCCATTGGCATCGATGCCCTTGTGAGTCCCTTTCGGTAGATTCCCAACCGCATTGCAGAATCCATGCGGAGGTGAAGACGAAATGATGCAGCAGGCTCCTGCAGCTTGTCTCGACTGATGGGTTCCAGCAGGGATGAGCATTGTGAGAACTTGGGAAGTCAATACTGGGTCAAAATAGTTTGGCCGGAGGGGGTGGGTACTGCTCGGACATCAAGGTGTGCGCATTTTTCAGGAGTTTCCGCAGCTGCTTATAAGCATAACCCCCCCCCCCACCGTTGCTACTTCAGGCCCACTCCTGCTGATGTTGCGGATGTCGAGTCAACTGCTACAGCTCAGGATTGTACCAACTTAAGTAGGTAAATCGAGATGCCATATTGGACTGAGACTGTGATTCTGCGTCTACGCACCGCACCACTACAGTCCACTCCTGCTCAGGCCACTCCGAACCCCGAACCCTAAGCCCTCAACTTTTCGTGGACTTCGTGAATCCTGAGGTCGTGGAGCTCTTCGACGCGAGCTTCTCGTGGCAAGGAGAAGCTCCGCCTGAGGTGCTCCCGCGTGTTTTCAAGCAGCCTTTGTGCTTCCCTTCTCTACTTGGGATAAGTAGCGCCCTCTGAAGGCGTGACGCCAGATTTTTTTTGGGAGCATCTCACGGTCCCCCTCTGGCTTACATCAGCCCTCAGTCAGACACCCTCATCATAGCTCGGATACTGGTGCAGGGTATGATTATGTATGAAATTGCACATGACTCACGGACGCCTTGAAAAAGCTCAGGTCTTCGCCAACAGGTTCTAAGTCGAATGGACTCGTTGCGGCAAGTGTGATCTACCATCATTCCGACTTCGTGCCGATTCGAGACACTACGGTTGATGATATAAATCCTGCATTACCTTAAGGACCCTAACCTATGGGAATTTTGGTATATTCCTTATGATGGGTAAAACAGGACTTACATCATCAACCGTATCTCCAGCCCTCCCGAAGCCTCGGTCCGTTGAACCTGCTCCGAAACGGTACCCCCGCAGCCGAAGCCCCCAATCCACCTCAAACGAAAACGAGGCGCATGATGATTATGTGTATGTATATATATATATATATATATATATATACAAATTTCTACATATATTTATTTATTTATGTATATGCATATGTATTCCTCGGAGCCTCTTCTGGGAAAAAAACCAAGTGAGCAGCTCAGCCATCCTCGCGAGGCGCCCACTGACAAGCCGCCGGTGCTGCGCCCCTCCAATGCCGGAGCAAGAAGGACGTGATGTCCTCGATGTTTCGATGCAGTTACGCATTTTCTGCGGATGTTGCTGTTGCGGAAGCAGCTAGGGGTAGGTATTAGTTGGCAAGATCTGTTTTTCTTGAACAAGAACCGCCGTGTCAATCGGATGATCTCCTGTCTCAGGTTAGCTTTCTACCGATCGAGCTCCCTGCCCCTGCCAGCGGCAATGCAAGTACTGCTGCGTGCTCGGTAACTCGAGTCGATGGCCAGAACATGTCACGGCATGCTCCATGCAAGTAAACCCCATCACTTAAACCCTATAGGCCCTCCTATAAACCTTATAGACCCTATTTCGTTCCACCTCTCATATCAGGCCGGAGTTGTCGGTGGTACCCACGCCGCCCACGCCAACGCCCAGATCTGTGCTGCTCTCAGCTGGCGCATGACCTGAAACCAACATGAATGGGTTATGCAAGAATGGGTTATGATTTCATGGCCCATGGTACAGTATAAGAATGTATATCATCGTTTATTATATAGGATAGGATAGTACATTTCAGGATATTGTGTGGCATTTTAGGACATTCTAGTACATTTCAGGGTACTCTGGGATATTGTAGGAGATTTCTGTATATTTCCTGATATTTCAGAATATTATCGGCATTATAGGATATGCCTTGGATCTTCTCCTGAATATAGCCATTCTGTATCTCCGTTATAAGGCAGGCATCCCCATGAAGGGACCCTCCTTTTGCCCTTGGAGCTTCGAGACTTCTTAAAGGACCATGGGACTTAGTAACTAGGGGTTATAGATAAGGTAACCATACTTACAATTGCTATATCCCCAATTAGGGTACTTTTTTCACCTTACTTACTAAGTACCCTAGACCCTAAACTAAACCCTATAGATCCCTCTAAGATCTCTAAGGAACCCTATAGATCCCTTTAAGAACCCTTACTTACTACATCCCCTGATCCTCCGGCTCCAGGTGAAGGCCTCGATGGCGTCTGCCGAGGCTCGTCCGAGCTCTCGGCCGTCCACAAAGCCACAAAGCGGCTGGGGCATCCTATGACATCTTAAACTAGACGACGATGTCCTATAAAAGACTGTGTTATGTCCTATGATATCCCGTAGCATCTGAAAATGTCCTGTAGTATGCTAAAGTTATGGCGTGCTGTCACATTCGTATGCGCAGCATCCAGGCTCGAAGCATGGGGTGCGGCAGGCGACGTAAAGCTTGCAAAAACCAGAGCCTTTCATATCTGTTCTGGGCGCTTGGCCTGGTGGTCCTCTCCTGGGAGCGACCACTTCGTTTGCTACACGGGTTCTCGTTGCCCCAATCTGCAATGCAAGTATGGGTGGAGAGTGGCAAGAAGCAAGACGGGGTAGACCATGTCCTCGGAGAGGACCTAGAAGTTGGTGAAGACGGGACGCTAAAGCTTGAAGGACGCGTCGTTGGGTGTGCCGTGGACGTGTCCACGGCGGAGGGCCAGTCGAAGGCGCGATCCTTGGCCGGTTGCGTTGAGTGGATTCTGCTCGAGTTTGGTGAGTGGACGATGATTCCTGTAGAAAACATCGTGGCTGCATGCAGCGGCGGGCCGACGCGAGTTGCAGCACGACTTCGCAGTGCCGAGCAGGTCGTTGGAGCAGCATTTGCACTGCAAGTAGGCGCAGACGCCTTGCTTGTGCCACCAGAGGTCGTCGAGACGGCGCTGATAGCTAAGTCCCAGCGTGGTGAGGTGGGAGTTTCCGAAAATAGGGGACCCTATATACTAATATAGTACCCTAAACAGTAAGATCCTTACTATAAGGAACTCCAAAAAAGGTATCCCTTACTTTCGGAAACCCCCCCCGAGGTGGTGGAAGAGGAGGCGCCTGTGGAGCGCAGCAACTTCGAGCTCGAAGATTTTGAAGTCCTCCGTCTCGGTGACGGAGGTGTTGGCCAAAGGGTCTGCGTTGACCTCACTTGCCTCTTAGACCTTGGTGAGGGCATGTTGGTCGGGTCTTCCTCCTCAAGTTTAGCCCTCGTCCATGGAGAGACGCTGCAGTCCGATTTCGTTCCCTCGCGACCATTCCGCGTGAATGCTGGCGCAGTTCATGCTTACATTCTTATGGCAGATGGCTCGACAAAGTACTTGAGCGAGCTGCGTATGGGTGACGCAGTAACCATCGTGAGCTACAGTGGCCAAAAACGGGTCGGTGTGGTGGGCCGCTGCAAAGTGGAGCGCCGCCCATTTCTTCTCCTCACCTGGAAGGATGCATCCGGCCGTGAGTCAGGGACACTACTGCAGCAAGCTGAAACGGTTCGTCTACTGCAAGCTTCCGGCGATTGTGTGTCAGTGACATCACTGCAGCCGGGCTCACGCATCCTTGGCTGGAGCTCGGACGGAGCGCGCCACATCGGAGCCAAGGTACCGGGGCAGATCGCGGAGCACTGAGCAAAACTGTGCTTGCTAACCGCCTGCATTTTCGAGCTCGTCATATTTTGCCATCATCGTAGGCAAGCATGCAAGCTAAAACTTGGTCGGTGTGAGGAGTTTGCAGCAACACGGTCGTCGGTCATTCTGCTGCATGACATCTCACGGAATAACTGAACTCAATTATGTAATTACAAAGGGGAGTTCGGCCAACGCCCCGACGAAGACAGCGTTGATACGAGAGTTGTACAGGATGTGGGCTGGTAAACCGTTGAAGCCACCAAGACCTCGACGAAGTGCCATCTATGGAATGCATCAATCCTGACGATTTGCGTATGGTCACGAGTCCGGCAAGCTCGTTTGTGCAAACCGCCATAAGCATAGGTGACACACATGAACTTCTCTGCCCCAAGTGGCGAGCAGACAACCTTTTGCAGGCAGCAGAATCAGCTGTACAGTTACGATGCCGGGACCTAGGACCGGATGAGGAAAGGGAAGCTTTGAGCTGAGGTGCATATACTTGGAGGATCATGGGACTTAGTAAGGTTATAAGTACCCTAATTGGGGTTATAAGTGTAGTTACCTTAATTATAGCTCTATACATAGTTACTAAGTTCCATGATCCTTGAAGTAGGGTTGAGGGAAGTCTAGGGTTGGAGAGACAGACCTTTCTCTCACTCTACTCAAGTGGGGGCGGGGCGAGGGCAGAGGTCATGGGGAGTGCGACAGAGCGGCCCGGCGGGAGCGGGGGATCGGGAACCGGGTGATCCGGGACCATCTCCCCATGCACAGCACGTGTCAGTCTGAAACAGAAGCTGCGGGCCACATCTGAGATTTTCAGCCAGCTGTAGCTTCTGCGCTAATGTGCACCAAGCCCAGTCCGACACTGTCTGCTTTTTCGCTACATTAAGGCATCAACTTCTCGCTTCGGCCTGGCCAGTTAATGGCAGCCCTTGGCAGTGCAGGCCCTGTGGTGCCACCTCGGCAGTTGAAGTCATCACGCATGCTGTTTTCAACATGGAATCTGCGAATTAAACCCTTGTGTCGTGGCAGGTAGTGGCAAGACAACGCTACTCCTGGCTTTGTTGGGCGAGGCCCGCAGCTTGGCGCAGCGGTGGACGTACCTACGTGCTGCGAGTTACTTAGCCCGCCAGCCTCACACGGTGTCTGCCGTGACAAAGTATAGGTCACTTCACCATTGTATTGTGCACTACCGAACACCGAAAACCAAAAGTTGGGCTCCAAAAACTACCGGAAACCGGCGCCCCGATGCCCTGGTTGCAGGTGCCGTGTGTGTCCGGGCGATGTGCGGCACCAAGCTCAGGGCTCAGTGGCTCAGCCTGCCAGCACAGAGCAGATGAAAGGGAGCTTCTTCGGGTTTGAGGTGCATGATGCGTATGATTTAATATGACAGATGCAGGGACTACAGGGGGATTCGTCGATTGCTGATTATTCAGGCCGCTTATGTTCGAGTTCAGGAAGTTTTGGCTCTTTGTGGGTGGCATCCTCTCTTGGGATGTGTCCAATCCTCAAGAGTTTTCCAGGTTGCGTGCTACTGGTAATTAAGATGATGATGATGATGATGATGATGATGATGATGATGACGCCGACAGTCATGATTGCCATGATGATCGTTGTTGCAGCGGTTCTTAAGCATCGTCATTATGGGCAGCCGGTTCGTGGACATTCGGGGCCTTGCAAGGCACTGGACAACTCAATTCAGATTTCGAAGGATATCCACGATAACGCCAGACCAGCATTCTGCCACTTTCATCCTCCAGCCCAGCTGATCCGCGACGGAGGCAAAACGCCACTATGTTCATTGCAGGTCGTAGTGGGATTCCATGCGCCGAGGCTTTCTAGCCAAAGCTGCAGGGAAGGTGGCCTACTGCGGTCTGCAGCTTCGCTCTCAGATGCTACCTGCGGCATCTTTTGCAGAAGGGGCTTTCGTGTGAAGTTTCTCTATTGGGTGGAGAAAGTTTCGGTTGCTGAAGCAGCATGGCGACCCCGTAGGTTGTGCGAGCAAACAACTCTATCTGACATGCTTCTGTCCTTGCTGCTGCCACCAGACGCTCACAGGCCGCAGCTTATCCGGGGCAGCGTCTGCGAGAACGTGCTGTTTGGCAGGCCGCCCATCCCCATGGGTTCCAGTTCCAGCACGGTATGGGGAATGGCGTCGTCACGGTGACTTCGAACCGCAAACTTCTATAAGGTTCCGAAATCAGAAGGGTTCCTGGCAAGATTGCACTTCGACTTTTGCGGCTCCCTTACCAGTAGTTTCTGGTGCGGCTCATGCAAATTATTGATCCACGTAGGCATTATTACTCTATACCTGTTATCATAAAAGCCCCAGCATCAGCAATATTCCCTTCCTGCTAATGTTGTTTATTTTCAGTGTGTCCGTCAGTAATTATACGATATATCGAAATATATAATGAACTTTACATGCTACTATTTGCTATACTAGCTGCTATACCATCTGTTAGTTCCATATGGTCGCCTTCATGCGGAAGTAGAGAATTCCAGTTTGATCCTCGGAGTGGCCTAGATGGATGGCCAAGGCGCCCTGCGATCCCAAGAACATAAAACCGAGATGTGCTCAAATCAGCATCTTACTCCTGACAGAAGCGAATCCGTAGCCCGAAACCCGGCATCAGGTCATGTCGTTGCTTTGCATCACTGCATAAGAAAAGGCCTTCAGCACTCTAAGCGAATTCACCCCCTAGCACCGAATAGGACAGAGCCGAAGCCCGAAGAAGAACAAACCTATAGACCCTTCCCCCACCAGGCCGTATGACCATGACCGCTACCTGGACACCATGGCCGCCTGTGGTCTCGCTGACTTAGCGAAGGAGACTGGCCACTGGCCAGGTCACTTGAAGGTGTCTTCACAAGGGTTTTAGGGATCTAGCAGATTTGTGGTCCTACGGTAGTGATTGAGGGCTTTAGGCATTCAGGCTCTCTTGCCTGTTTCTGTTCGCATGTCCGTGCAGGAGGAGGCCACGGCAAATGCGTACGCCTCGGTGCTCTGCACTGGCATCACTTGCGTGCGGGTTATGCTGCGGTGCGCGACCGAGGCCGTGTCCACACGGGCTCCTCAAGTGCCCCAAATCTCAGGCGCATCGTACTGCATAGACGAGAGGAACAGACCAGTCAGCCTGGATTCTTCTTCCACAGTGTCTAACCTATCGGCAGAGGCTGACACACTGTACGTGCATGTAAACACATACAAGAAATATCATGCCACACCAGGCACTCATGCACACACGCATTTACACATGCCAGACACATCCAAATACAGTGACATTTACTTACATCTGCTCACCGAGCCAAGTACATAAATGTATATATTCATGTTCACTTATTTATTCATTTGTTTATGTACTTATTTATTTTCAAGCTTACCTAAGCATACATAAGCATGAAACGCATACCTGCGCCTGCATGCATATACTAGCATAGACATGCATACTTGCATACATACATAATAACATACATGCCTATATACAAATATACAAAATGCATATACAAATCTACACACATACATATACGCATATTTACACACACACACACACACACACGGATGCACACACACAGAGAGACATGCACGCCTATGTACATACATGCATGCAAGCATGCATGCATGGAGTCAAATGCATACAGGTTGGCAAACCGACAGACATAGACCGACAGACGGACAGCAGACAATCAGACAGACAGCATACATGCATACCTACGTATATACGTACATGCGTACATACATACGCATGCAGTACGTTATGCATGAATACGTACACACATACGTACGTACTTTCCTACGTACGTACAATACATAATAATGCTTGACATGCATATATCTGTATATACACACACATTCATTATGCATATAATTACATGTAAATGTATAAGCAAATGCATATATACACGCATACATGTAAAGGCAGACAGATGGACAGGCAGACAGACAGATCTACCTGCATACTGCCTGTCTGCCTGTCTTCCTGCCTGCCTGCCTGTCTCTGCCTGCATACCTACCCACCTACACATGTACATACCCTAGTCATATGCATGCGCATGTATATGCAGAGACATCCAGGTCCGATTACAGGCAACAAGCATATGCAGCCAGGACCAGCACTTCAGAAGACATCAGGAAATCCTAGTATAAGATCCTTGCGTGCTTTCGGTCCTTGCAGCTCAATCTTCCGAGACTGCTCTTTTACGTCAGGGCTTGAGGCTTGAGGGTATATACGTTTCAGGGTTCACACTGTTGAATCCGTTTTGGTTAGGGGGATTAATTATAATCTGAATTTAGGGTTTAGGGTTTATATGGTTTAGGGTTTAAAGGGGTTAGGGTTAAGTTAAGATGCCACGGAGCTTCCGACCCCAGCACCGAGAGCTCCACAGGCGGCCAACGCGTGCGGGTGGGCATCGCGCGGGCCATCTATGGCCAAGCAGAACTGGTCCTTCTCGTGCGCCATGGGGCCTACTCGGTTATCTAGTAATAGTCGTACTTTACGATCTGCTACTACTACTACTACTACTACTACGACTACTACTAATAACAATAATTACAAATACTACTGCTACTACTAATACTACTACTACTACTACTACTACTACTACTACTACTACTACTACTACTACTACTACTACTACTACTACTACTACTACCACTACCACTACCACTACCACTACTACTACTACTACTACTACTACTACTACTACTACTACTACTACTACTACTACTACTACTAGTACAAGTACTAGTACTAGTACTAGTACTAGTACTAGTACTAGTACTAGTACTTGTACTTGTACTTGTACTTGTACTTGTACTTGTACTTGTACTTGTACTAGTACTAGTACTAGTACTAGTACTAGTACTAGTACTAGTACTACTACTACCACCACTACCTACTACTCATATCATGAATGCATTCATGTACTTGTTACTGGTATTATCATCATGGATGCTTTTTATTGATTTTGGTTTCTGTCATAGTTATTGTGGGCCCCTTTTGGTTCAGTTTTTGCAGGGCCGTGGGCTGGGGTGGTGGGCACGTCATTTCAGTCTCACATGTTCTTGTTGGCAAGTTTGGAAGTGGTTGAGTCAACACCGTTCCGTGCTCTTGTCTTCTCTTCCGTTCCATGGTCTTGTGAATCACAGGGGCCTGAATACTTGCGGATGATTGCTGTCCCGTATCCCCTGACAGAACAAATGTATTTAAGTTACCGATAATACATACCCCGCAAAGCTTTTCCGTAGCACGGCAGGATGACCCATTCGCCAGCCTGGATCCACAAACCTGCACGGATCTTAGTGTCGCAGAATCGTGTTCACGAGACCCGCTTCGAAGATGGTGAAGTACAGATCAGGGATAGGGACAGCATGAGGAAATACTAATGAACCAGTGTGGAGCAGCTTATTGTACGCTGCTTATTCATGTGCTTCCTTGATCTGTGGCACGAGACGTGTGCGATCGGGTTGCTTTGTTATTTGTGTCGTAGAGTAGAATCTGAACTGTGCGTGCTGGGGTGAGGGATGGGCCCGTGTCTGGCACCCGGCCATCGCATCCACTCACAGCGTAAGCTTGGTTTTGACCACGGCCTTAACAGCAAGCTCGATGATGAGATGTAGGATTGCTGACGCCTAGGTGGACTTGTCTGGCATGCGGCCATTCGAGGATCAGAGAGACAGACAAGCCAGTCGTCTTTTCAGTCGAAGTCGAAACGGGAGCTGCCTGTGCACCTGTTAGGGCAGGCTCGAGGTCTTGGTGCAATGAAGACTCGCGGTTGCGACGGTTACTCCGCCCATACTTGGGCTTCACGATGCCGAAGAATCGGGAGTGCGGTCAGAGAAGAGGCCATGTGCCCTTTACCGGACAGAATTGTAGATTGTAGCTGCAGTTCGAAGCCTTTTTGTCATTCAGCATTCGTTTTCGCAGTTTCCGAGCTGCAGTTTGGGATCCCAAGCTCTGCGAGGACGGCTGCATCGGAGCGCGGTGGTCTTCACGACCACGTCTGCCCAGCTAGCGAGAGTGCGGCACACAGGGCTCTCCTCTCGCTGCTTATGGAATGTTAGGAGTTGGGGTTCGGCTCAGAGCTCCTGTTCAGGGATCTTGGCCGTTTTGCTGCTGCTTGATTGATATTATAAATACCCTGGCTATGCAACTCAAGTTTAAACTCCACATCATGGCACTGCGCGCACAAAGAAGCATCAAGGCTGAAACTCTGAAACCCTTTGAAGCCTGAAGCGCTCGAGCCTGACTCTGTCGTGCGAGAGGCCGCTGATATTGTCCTCGTCCTGGAGGCAGCCGATGCTCTGTCGGGACGTGTCGGTTTAGGGCTCGGGGAGCTTAAGGCTCAGTAATCCGAATTGCGAGGTTATTGGGTCCGGTCAGCCCAACAAAATGCTCGTCTTTGGCAAGTATGAGATGGCTCAATCGCAAGTCACGAAACGGTAGCCGATGCAGCGAACTCTACCCATGCAAACGTCACTGTGAGATGTGGCAGCCAAGGAACCTCCCACTAGATTTGACAGCCTCGACTTTCGATCGTGGGAACAAACCGGCAAGTGCTTGTCAAAGATGGTCTTCTATCCGCATTGGCATTGAAATGAGCCCAACATCAGCGTGCTCCCTAAACCCTTTCAGCCCTGAAGCCCTCAATCCTCAAACCCGATACCCTAAAGCCCTAAACCCGAAAATCACCCACATACCCTATAAGCCTAAACCCTAAATACCCTACCGCCTAAACCGTACAGAGCGAATGCTGGCGTCATGGACTTCGACAGCCCTTCGATTTCGCGGGCCTCCCGCGCCTCCCACAATGAGCGGCTCCCGGCGGGCTCGCCGGCCTTTCTCCCTCCACGGAGGCCCGAAAGCTGCGGCTTTGGGGACATACAGGCCCCAAATGGTACAAATCTTGGGAACCCGACATAAGCTGCAAGGGTAACACTGCAAGTAGGTTCATGGTGGACTCTGCCAGTCGTCAGATGCCCCGCTGGAGCTGAAAAGAGTGAGCACGTGAGGATCCCACGCAGACAAACATGCACATGTCTGCTATGTAGCGTATGCGTTCGTGTATATGTGCATGCGGACGACGTGTATATGGGTATGTGTGCATGCATGTCAAAACGTTCACTTGCATGCATTGATGGACGCATTTCTGAAAGCATGATGACTCGCGTAATTAGGCACATACATCGCAGACACGTCTGCTGATACAATTACGTTGTTTGATCAGGTTCATGTGTGTCTACGTGTGCAAAGGCATGTGGATGATGTGATATTTGCCTTGCTTGTCATGCGCCAACTGCGCAAAACTATTGGCGATTCCTGATTCGCAGGCGGCTTCTCGTCTCGAAGACACGACCTTCGCAGGCTCTCAAACGTCAGGACTCTCTGGTGCTTAGTAGGGAACGTACATAGTAATGGATTCTTAGAGTGAGTAGCCCCTATAAAATCCCCAATAACAGCCCCATAATCCATTCCCCCATTCTCCACTAAGCACCAGAGAGAGGACTCGTCAAGTGAGTCAGAGCCGCTCCCGGCAAAATCCTCACGATGCTCCAACTGTGGTCACCTGCTGCTCGGCGAATCTTAGGGCAGCAAGTTCCGAACCTACTGGGACCCCTAGGTCTCTTGCTATTCTTAAGATTAGTGTTAGCGGCGGAAGCTGTCTTCAGAATTTGTGTTGACCGAAGAATTTGGGGAGTCTTCGGCAGTGTTCGGATTCATCCCATCCCGGAGGCTGACGGACATTGACCTTGTTTTCTGCCCACACTGCGGGCACAGGCGAGCAGGTGGCTTGGACATGGCAGCTGCCTTCGATGCTGTTCGGAATGCCGTCGAAGAAGAGAAAGCCAGACAATCCCACACAGCCTCGACAGTCGTCTTGCACTCCTTGGAAGCAGTGTCCGTGGTAATACAGGATATGCTTCAAGTGAAGTATGGGGTTGTCCTAGATGAGGCGGACCTTTTCGCTAAGCTGCGGCACCACTGCAATGGTTCCACTCCCGAGGAGGTCGTTAGTCTCTTCAACTCCCAGACGGATCTTCACTTCCGGACCCGCGGCTGCCAGCGTCTCCTGGCCTTGAAATTGGATTGGAAGCCAATGGACTTCGCCCAGCTCTGTGCCATGGTGCGCACGATGCCCGGAACGGCCTGCGGCGTCGCAGTGGCACAGGAGGCGACGGCGGCTATGGCAGAAGGCACTGCATCTGCCGCTCCGGTAGCCATCGCCGTTTTCCGCGAGGCCTACGGTGCAGACGGGCCAAAGATGTTGATGGGCCGCTGCGGGGGATCCTCGGCCCCACCGCTGCTTGCACTCAACGCCCGCAACCTGTGCCTCGCGGGTCTCATCGAGCCGCGGATCGTCAGCGAGCTACGCACCGCCGGGCCCTCCAAGAAGCCCGTGGAAAGGACGGCCCCTCCTTGGAGGGATGAGTCCCTGGCCCTGGCTAATGAAGTAATTAACTTTAACCTTTTTGGGCTGGCATTACTGTCAGTGTCATCCCCATCTGATCCTTGGAAAACGGGACAAAGGTACGTGAGCGCCACCAAGGCTCAGGACTCCGCCCTCTTGGAACATCCTGTGCCGAAGTTGGACCTCTCGGAGGCACCGAGGAAGGCCCTCAGGCGGCCGTCTCCACGGCGGAAGGACATTCTGGTTGCGTAAGGAAGTGCAGCTCCTTATGTCATCCCATAGCATAGCCTAGCCTAGCGGCCGTTCTGGCATATCATGCGGTTCCATTGGGTCCATATCCGTATCAGATCACATCATATAAAGATGCGCATATGTATATGTATGCGTGTATACGTTTAGTTAATAATGGTCTGACTTTTCGTTTATGCACGTACTTGTGTGTATCTGATGTATGCAGGTGTATGTGTATGTACTTGTTCCGATGCGCACATACACACACACATATATATATATATATATATATATATATATATATATATACATACATAATATATGTGTGTATATATATATATATATATAGATGTACACACATATATAGATACATACACACACACATATATATATATATATATATATATATATGTACACTCACAAATACGTATTGTACATGCACACACAACACCTATACGTAGACATATACGTTTACATCTGCATGCACATATACATGTACATTTAATCCTACATATGCATATATACATATACATATCCATATACGTATGCATGCGTGCATGCATACATGCATACATATGCATACATGCATAAACACATCTGTACATACATATTTGCATTTATATTGTACATATGCACCTACACATGTGTGTGTATATATACATATATGTGTGTGTGCTTGCTTATGTCTATATATATATATATATATATATATATACAAATTTATATGAATGTGTATCCATATGTACATGTTCGGTGTACATACACGTCTTGCAGGGTTATCAAACCCTGCGGAATTGATGAACAAGCCACCGCCGGCTCTTTGGAGGACGAGCGGGGAGGAAGCTCGGCCACCAGCAGCGCACGGCTGACGCAGTGCAGCACAGAGGCTAGCCGGAGCTACAGCCCCGAGCGGCAACACCTCTCCGGGCCCAACAGGCTCCTTCCCTTCGCCAACCTGCAGGTGGGCTGGTATGAGCTTGGTCTTCGTCGGACATGATCATGGCAAGTTCGAGCATTATTTGAAAGCTGTGTTCGCATAAGTCACGACTTGTGGTGAAAAGACGTACAGCTCTAAACCTCGAAGACTCCACGCTGCTGCTCCTCGAGGTGTCCGGCCCCGGACCGGGGTTGGAGCCGCCTATGGGCTTGGGCCTGTATCAGGACCGCCGGGGCCACGGAAAGAGAGCTTGTCCTCCTGGAGCAGAAAAAGGGCTAAACCCCAAACCGAAAACGAACAGAAGAGGGTCCTCTATCAAACAAGCTTCATGCTCTGCGATTGATCTGCAAGGAGCCGGCACCCTGCCCAATGGAGCCAATAACTGTGCTTCCTCAGCCATCTCAGCCGGCCTGGTTTCTCGGCGCCAAACTCCGACGTGCTTCTCAGATCTCAAACGTGGAGTTACATGTTTCTGTCACCGGGCCTTTGCCTTGGAGTGCACTGAGGTCTCATCCGCAAACGCCTCGTCTAAGCGGACTTATGGGCTTGACGCCGCCGACAGGCAGGACTCTGACGTTCGAGTAGTGGTGTGGACATAATATATATTATCTGTATATATGTAGATATACATTGTATGTACTGTATAGATTGCGCATATGTATATATACATCTACACATTCCCGTATACAGTTACGTGCAATTGTTCATGCATTCATTGTGTGTTTGTATACTCATGCGTGTGTATACATATACACATAAGTATACATGTATACATCTCTATATATGCATATATATATACAGAGACACCTGAACATATACATATATATGTATACACGACATATACATATGCATATACATACACGCATACATACATATACACGTATATATGAGTGTATAGGTTGTTCATGGACGTGTATGCATGTGTGTATGTATATATATATATATATGCATGTATGTATGTTTGTAGATACAAGAAGTAGGGATTCCAATGCCTTACCAGTTGGCAATTGGATTCCGGGAACTTCGCTCAGGCTTGGATGTGCCGAAGCTGACACCCCGAGTTTTGGCTCCACCTTCACCTTGGATGTGAGGTGAGACTCTGAGGGGAAGCGGCTCTCCAGGCCAACTACTAGTAGCATGCAGCAGTGTTTGACTGCTTTTCGTGTTCCTTGCGGAGGGTCGTCTTGCGACGTTGGCTCCAATCCTGACGTTGCGACTCGGGTTGTATATGTGCGAAAGCAACTGCAAATGCTGGGACTTGTCGTTGAACCCATGCAGACCACCTGAACCCTTCATTGACAGGTGGGATTTCTTGGAGCACGGTGCCGCAACCGGCTGCGACTTGCAGAGATGTCCCTGATCACTTTGATGGACCAACAGCCCACAGGCCACGTAAAGCATCCTGGACACAATCACTTCTCTCATTATGACTGTATGACGACGTTGCCCATGAGTTTGCGATGTTTTTTCAGATGCATTTGGCCTGTACCCCAGTAAATGGACAGCAGTGCAGCGATTGACTGACACTCCTGCCGTGCAAAGCACACGAAATTCGAGTCTTGTTTTTTAGACTGATATATTAGAACCTGCAGCCTGCGTCTCACAAATTCGTTTGCAAAATGCAATGTTTATCCGTCTGGCATGGTGTCCGTCATGAGCAAGTCTTGACGGGCGCGGCCAGCTTTCGTGCCACCTCAAAAACAAGTACTGGCATTTGGTCTGTGGCCCCTGTAGTGAAGAATCCATCGGTCAGTTAGTGCGGCCCGCCAACCTTCCAAAAGCCACTCATGTCTTACGGCGGATGGACTCAGGAGTCGGAGTATTGTAGCCTGCCATCATTCGTATGATCTGAGATGAGACGGTGAGGGATTGTGGCCATGATGGTGACAAGGATGTCGTCGTAGGAGTAGGAGTAAGGAGTGAGGAGCAAGGAGTAGGAGCAGGAGTAGGAGTATGAGTAGGGTAGTCGTAGGAGCAGTAGTCGTAGCAGCAGCAGCAGCAGCAGCAATAGTAGATGCCGGCAGCAGTAGTACTAGAAGTAGTAGCAGTAATAGTAGTATAGTAGTAGCAGAAGTAGAAGTAGAAGTAGAAGTAGAAGTAGAAGTAGAAGTAGTGGTAGTAGCAGCAGCGGGAGGAGGAGGAGGAGGAGGAGCAGTACCAAAAGTAGTAGCGATGGTAGTGGTAGCGGTAGTGGTAGTCGTCGTCCTAGCTTCCGATTCTCTTCGTTTTGGTGGGATCAGGCTTTGGGTTTGAAGCAGTCTGTTATACAGTTGGCTTCTTGTTGAAGTAGAGGACCTCCTCCTGCGGTTAAGCATGGCTTTTGGTCTAAAATAGCTTCGATGCAGGGTAGGTTCTAGAGTTTGTCATGGGAGGATGGCATGGCAGTACAGTGCGGACCTCCGGCAGACCTTCTAAGAGGCTGGGAGCTGGACCTTCGGGTGCAGGAGTTTTGGCTTCCTGGTAATAATTCATTTCTTTGCTTTCATGTTTTTTGGAGGTGGTGTCGGTATTCAATTCGTCAGTATGGTGGGCACCAGACCCCAATATTCGGAGTGGTCACGGCTGTCCATCTGAGAGCTGAGCTTTTTGATGCAGGGTCCAGTTCACTAAGTTCACGGGTAGAAAGCGTTTAAGGATGCCTCCCGAGACCGCCTCTCGTGCCCTCGTCCTGCAAGGTCTCCACAGCAAGTTTGCGGAGCTTCTGGCGGAGATGGATGCGGAAGCCTCGACGATGGTCGCGAATTCCAGCGGTCCCTCGAAAGCCGAAAGGAGAGCAGGGATTAGGCTTCATCTTGCAGGGACTCAAATTGAGAATGCGAATTAACAGAACAGATCCAACAACGGCAAACGAACTGTGGTAGTAGTAGTCGTCGTCGTCGCCATAGTAGCAGCAGCAACAGTAGTAGCCGTAGTGTCTGTGGTGGCTGTAGTAATGGTAGTGGTAGTGGTGGTGATGGTAGTGGTGGTGGTGGTGGTGGTGGTGATGGTAGTGGTGGTGGCGGTGGTAGTGGTAGCGGTCGTGGTGGTGGCGGTAATGGTAGTGGTAGTGGTAGCAGGGTGCTGGTGGAAGTACTATAGGACTTGTACTCGTGGAAGAAGCAGTAGCTGCAGTAGAGCTAGTACTCGTACAGATGCTACCAGTGGTTATTGTACGTGTATCAGCACATGGAAGGAAGGGCATGATGTTATGCTAAGTTATTCTTTCTTGTCGCTCTTGTGAGCGGTTTTCTGCAGAAAAAACAGTTGGACACGGGAACCTGTGGCAGCAGTTTTGGTTGGTCTGGGATCCTGGCAGGAGTTCGGACGCGATGCAGGCTCTGCCCTTGAAGGCAGTGAGGACGCTGCAAAGTGCCTTAGCCTCCTTGCACTGCTTCGTGGTTTATAGTGTGCATGGTCGGGTGCGTCTCGTGCTTCAAGTTTCATGTTCTTGATGATACTATCTTATATTGTGCTATAGTAGAGTGTAGTACAGTGTAGTTTGACCCGATACAGTGTAGTGTAGCATAGTATAGTATACTGTAGTATGGTACAGTATGACCATATTATGTGTCGTTTACTTCCCGAAGACCTCACCAGGTACTGCTCCGGGTTGGCAATCGCAGATGCCGGTTGCGGTCCTGCAGGAGCTCAAGTCTCTCTGGTCAAAGAAGGCCACAATACTACAAGAGTTATTATAAGGGTCGCTGTGTCTTGGTCTTTGAGAAATTTGTGCACGGCAAAGCATATAGACCTCGAGCAAGCTTTCACCAACGAGTCCTGCAGTAGCTTTGGCTCGGCCATTGGCTGGCGCTCTGCCGTAGTCTGATGATATTCTTGCTTATGGTTCCAGGGCTGCTACAGACTATTATTGTTACCATGCCAGTCGTGAGTATGGCTGTTATCTGTACATGTATATATATATATATACATGTCATTATGGTGAGCCTATATTCTACATGTTGCATATCTCTTTCAGGTCAGCAAGCCAGATCCTCTCAGCCACAGCCTGAGCACTCATGGGCCCTGGCCGCAGAAGGCCCCAACTCCTGAGGACCTCCTGCAAAGGCAGAACAATGGGACAGCCTTTGTCATTGTGATCATTCTTGCGGGAAATATATGCAGGGTCGCATGGTAAGACTTGGGTGGGGGTAGTGGTGGTGGTGGTGGTGGTGGTGGTGGTGGTGGTGGTGGTGGTGGTGCCTCTGCTGACTGTGATGGTGATACTGATGACGACTGTGGCCAGGATAATGGCGATGAAGATGACAATGACCGTGACGATAAATTTGCGACAAGGCCGCGATGACGGACATTGCGACGACCACGATACCAAGCAGGAATGGAATGATGGTGTTGATGATGATGGCGGCGCTGGTGGTTCTGAACGCTGTAGTATCGTTGGTGCTCATGATGTTGATGATGGTGGTAGGTGTTGATCACCCTCACCATTATGCTTCTGCTGCTGCCTGAAGCTAATACTAGGTACTAGGGTACCTTATTTAACTTTCGAGATACCATGATTCAGGATTCTATATCTGGATTTTTCATGTCTGTCACACCCACCCTAAACCCCTGATTCCTATAGCCCTGAGCCCTAACGCCATATTCATATGTAGTGTTGTGGCCATTGCTCCTCAGGCCCAGGGACATGGTATGCTTTCTGCTCTGCAACTTCAGCCTCCTGCAGCCGCGGGAGCCTTGTCTGGGTGTGGTTATATAGCATAATAGGGTATCAAGGTTTGGGGTTTAAGGGTTTGAAAGTGTAGGGGTTTGGGGCTTAGGGGTTTAGGGTATAAGGGTTTAGGGGTTTAGGGTAGAGAAGCCTGAGTAACTAGGAATCGGATCCCCGCCTTTCTAGTCCTTATATGAGTAGACTAGAACTTTAGCCCAAACCCCTAGTCTAATCGTGAAGGCCGATTAAGGCCCCTATTTGTGACTCGGGGGTCTTCGCGGCCTGTTACATTCCATCAGCTCCACCTTTGCTGCATGATTCAAACCCCTTGAGCTCAATGGGAAGTCCCTCACTTCCTGACCTCGGAGCCCACTTTCGAGAATTTACTGGGGCCGGTCGTAGGGAGCCTGTCACTTTCCTCGACGTGCGCACGTCCCGCGTTCGTCGATGTGGCTTCTATATACTGTGTGTGAATCTCGGAAGTCCAGAACCTAACGCAGTTCCCATTGACTTCTTATGGTGCAGGTTTGGGCTTTCTGGTCCTCGGGGCCAGAGCCCGGAAAAAAGCCCAAGAATTCTCCAGCCGTTTGAGGTCTAAAGCTGTACCGGGGCTACGCGCTGCGCTTCGGGGGTCGGGGAGCCGGGAGCCATGGAAAATTTCACAGTCTTCGGTATGACGCAATCATGCTACAGACGTTGGGGCTTTTCTACATCTCCAGCTGCATGAAGCGTTTTGGGGTTTTGGTTGCCTCTGTTGTGTGTCGTGCACAATCAGGTGGCTTTGGAGGGCTTGATCCCTGGATTACTTCTTGGTTCTTGGTGGTTGCATCGACGTGTTTTGCATGTGCACATGCGTACAGGGGTAGATGGACTCATGTCATAGCTTTACGTATGCAGTCGGCAACAGCACTGAGAAAGCAAGATTTGAAAAGGTATAAGATGTACGCAGCTACAATAGGGCTGCAAGAAACAATGCTGATGTGTCTATGTACCCATTTACCTTTCTATGATTATCTATGTATGCATATATCTGTTTGTGTATGTATGTATATATATATATATATATATATGCACGTATCCATGCATGAGAATGCCAAGAACAGGGCTGCATACAAAGCATTACGATATGTGGTTCCCTCTACAGAAACAAATGGATAGGGTAGAACGACATGTAGATGTATACGAGCACATGGACAAACAAATACGCACGGATGAAATACCTGTTCAACGAACACACAGATAGATTGTTACAGCCTGGCCCGAACAAATAGCGTGCTACACCGAAGGAAACCTGAAGTTCTTCTATCGTTACGGAAAGCTATACCTGAGCCAGCATCCTAACCCTAGTGTTGTAGAAAATAGTTGCAACATATTATGCAGTATAGTGTCATACAGTACTTATCATGTAAGCTGTATCCCTAGAAAGCTACACGATTCCTCGCCTGCCGAAGCTGGTTCGTCAGGCCGTCTTTCTCGCCTCCTTGCTGCTCTTCTTCGCGTCCCAAGCCAGCATGGTGCTGGTGGACGGGACCTGAGCTGAATGAATTCCAAGTCCTAAACCCTATCACAACCGGCGGATGAGAAAAGGAGCGTACAAAGCAACACACATGTGAACCCTCCAAAATCACCCATGACGCAACAATTCCAGGGCAAGACAGCTGGTCACTGATGGTGAGCATGCAGAGGTCTGATCTCCTAAGCCGCTACCAAGGACTGCTGGCTGGCGCGCTGGTCAGCACTTCCTGCTCAACTGCAAGGTAGAATTGAACTCTATGGGTGCTTTTTGAAAGTCGATTCTGGAGGGTTGGAGGTCTTCCGCTCGTGCCGGATCCTTCACCTGGTGATTTCGCAGTTCTGATTCATTGATGCAGAGTTCCCCTTGCACGGCTGTCGTTCCGTCACTAGTCCAGTCGAGCTTGCATAAACTCCAGACAGCCTTTTTAACTGTCCGGACAAGGGCATCGTGCAAGTTGACTGAAGCCACAAGACGGTTAAGCCTGTTCATCCTGAACGCAATTCGCTTGAACCGCGTGCTTTGGCCAGTACTCGGCTCTAGAGTCTGGCTTCGGGACTCAATTGCTTCCCTCAGAGCCCGAATTCCTGCTGTTTCAGGCTCAAGGCCTGTGATCACAGTTGACTGACATGAATCTCTGTACACTTTTTAACGTCGATAGGTCGTCGATTCGTATCAATCCGGCATGTCGGCAGGTCATGCGGATGGGGCCACCATCTCAAAGAATCTCGCAGTGTGCTGACCTCAGGCACGGATTTTGGGAAAGAGGCTTGTCCCGGACAATCGGCTGAAAGCTTGTGATTGTTGTAGCTCGCTCCAGTTGGAGGCTTGACTCATGCTTGCTTTGGTGAATTTGAATATTTCGGCAGAGCCAGAGTGTTGGTAAGTCAGTAATAGAAGCATGCTGAAACCAGATATACACCCATCAAATGCCTCGCGTCGCATATCTTGTTGCATCTGGTACCCTTGTCTGCTGGATCATGGTCCTCGCATCGTTTCGAACCCTTTCCATAATTATCGGTTTGAGACTGTGGTTGAAGACGGCTTCGACCTGCCTTGCATCCGGATTCCTCAATCAAAGAGTGGTGGGCAAGGGGATCTTCTCCAACAGTCAACAGTGTTGTGCTCTCATTAGCGTGGATTGTGGTTTCATGGCACGAACTGCTTCTTAACTGGGCACTGGATCCTCCTAAATTTAAGACTCATGAACACTCACTCACTGCAAAACCCAAGACTGTGCCTGCTCCAGGGAGGGGGGGGGGGCTCCTCCCAGGTTCATCCTCCTCGCGCTCTTAGCAGCAGCACTGGTCACCCTCCAGGCTCTCAGACTTGGAAGCTGGAAGCTGGGAGATCGGTATATCAAGCCAGTAGCAGGCCTTCATGGAAAAACCGACGAGCCGGCATTGAAGAGTTACTCAAGCTACAAAAAGGCTCGGACCACGAGCCGGTGGATATCTAGCCTGGTGACGAACATCAGGCATTCGTAATGATCCAGCATTAGCAGGGATCTAACTGCCGTTGTGCCACTGTTGTCTGTTTTTGAGCGACAGGAGGTTCGAAGGTTTCATGCAGCAGGACATAGATGAAATAGATACAACTGCTGTGGATCCTCCTCTCCCATTGGCAACAACAACGACAACAATAAGAACAAGAGCAACCGTGACCGCTATTACTACGACTACTACGACCGATGGACGACGACGAACACTGCTACAACTCCGACAAGTCCTCTACTGCCACGGCTAAGCGTAGAGCCTTGCAGCCTCACCTATTGAGGCCGCTTCGTGGCCATTGCTATGCCTCCGAGCATCGGCACAGATGCGCCGCAGACGATGGTTACACAGTTGGACCGTGGGTCTTGCGTCTCTGATCGTGGTAAAGCGAGACCTACCTGCCAAGGGTCAAGAGTTGCGCAGTCCATGGCAGGCATTCGGACGGTCTGTGGAAGGTTCTGAAGGCACCATTGGCCGGGACTCCCAGATTGGCACAAGGGCTGAGAGTGATTTGTGGGGTATAGACAGTATAGGCCGCCTTTCGGCAACCGTCGACAACTATCTGAGAGAAGGCAGCGAGACTCATCATCACTGCTTGCAAGATCATGTTTGCTGTGCAGAAATGTCGTTGTAGTTATGTCTAGTCGTTGCTGCCGTCACTGTTCTTACTGGTGCCTCTGAACTACATGATATATACACATGGTCAGTGGCCTGTAGGCATTTCAATTATACATATTATACATATGCATGATAATTTATATATATATATATATATATATATATATTATATATTATATTATATATATATATACTTATTTGTGTGTTATTTGTATTCACTTATTTATAGATACAGATGCACACATATATAAACTATATCTATATCAGTAAGTACAACTTCAAAAGCTATTGCTACACGTATATATTTATACACACACACAGCTACGACTATATGCGCGTGTATGTATACATATATACATATATATACATATATATACATATATATATATATATATATACGCTTGGCTCTCCAAATCATGAGACGAGGATCTTGCCATCGCATCCGTGCCTGGCCAGCTGCTGTCCCGTTTCGCGAAGGACGGGCTTTTGGTATACATGGACCTTTACAGTTCATTACAAGCCATGTTTATATATCTGTATGCCTACGCACAACAGACACACATATATCTGTAATACATTTATATCTGTTCACATGTGTATATATCTATATATATATATATATGCACATTCACATAGATATAGAGAGACGCAAGCACACATACACATACATATGTATGTATGTCTGTCTGTCTGTATGTATGTGTGTGTATGTAGGTATGTATGTAATTATGTATGTATGTATGTATGTACGTATGTGTGTGTGTGTGTGCATGTATATATATATATGTGTATATATATATATATATATATGCTTATCATCCCCTGAGATATCATGCCTACTTTATACTATAGTGGCGCGTTCCACCCTCTGCAGTATGCTGTCTGGCGAGAGGATCTGGACGTCCTTGATGCTCGCCTGCCGTCCCTTCTGGCACAGGCCGGCTACAGACACGTTGTGTACCCATCCGAGGCAGCCTTAGGACTGGCAGGTCTTCATCTTTCCACAGCACGCTTGGGGATGATGTTTCGTAGTTATGTCTCAGGCCCTGGCCTGCGTGGCGGCGCTCTTCTCTGCCCTGATGGCCATCCTTTTCAGCTCCCCGGGCTTGGCACCCATGGCGGGGCTCCTGGCTTTGCTGATGTGGCGCCTGGCCGCAGCCTACAGCCCAGTGGCCGCCGACTGCGCCAGGATGGTGTCTGTTTTAAACGGCCCCGTGGTCGCCCACTTGCTGGAGTGTTTGGAGGGCCGGGAGTACCTCCGAACCTTCGGCCAGCAAGGGAAAGCGGTGACCCATGCCCTCTGGGTCTTGGAAGCCAGTGCTCGCGCTCAGATCCTCAACATGGGCTTACAGCGCTGGTTTGCCTTGCAGCTGGAGCTCATCGGCGGTGCTATGCTGCTCTGCGTCTCTGTGATGATCGTCTTGCAGACAGACGCACACCTGGGCATGTCCGGTCTCTCCCTCACCTATGCTCAGGCCTCAGCACGAGCTGAAAAAGAGTATGCCTGAGTATGCACGCAGCTGTCAAACTAGCTGTGCTTATAAGCACATCCAAATATCAATTAATAATGCATTCAGAGGCAGGCAGAGGCGCTGTCAGTCATCCGCAGCTTCCGACGCTTGCACTGTTGAGGCGTTGACATTGACAGCTCTCGCCACGGCCCTGGTGTGGTTGTCCTGACGTGGATTTCTGTGATGTGCAGACTCAACAGAGCCCGAGGGTATCAGCTCCTACTCCTACTTTTACTCCTACTCCGACTCCTACTCCTCCTACTACCCTGCTGCTACTACTACTGCTACGACGACGAGGAGGACTACTACTGCTGCTCCTGCTGCGGCTCGTGCTCCTGGTCCGGTTTTGCTGCTGTTGCTGCTCCCGCTGCTGCCCCAGCTCGCGCTGCAACTGGTACTGTTCTGCTACTACGGCTACTACTACTACTACTACTACTACTACTACTACTACTACTACTACTACTACTACTACTACTACTACTACTTGTACGACTAGTGCTACTGCCACTGCCACTGCCGGCGGCAGTCACAACGACGACGACTACCACCGCTATCACTGCTGCTACAAACAGTCGTGCGATAGTTCAGCGATTGATGTGCGAAAGAAGTTCAATATTCCGCGAAGAAGCCATATCCAGAACCACGGCTAGTCATGAGAATGCCGAACAGGGAAAATTTCCACCCTCTTCCATCTGCGAGGCCAAGTACCTGGTGAACTACAGCACCCGGGCTTCTGCGCAGATGGCCTCTGTAGAGAGACTTCTCGCTCTCTCCTCGCTTCGCTCCGAGGAGGCCCCGGAAGAAGGGACGTAGGAGTTTAGGGCCGTTTGGGGTCGTGTATGGCTTTGTGGCTTAGGCTTAGGGTGGTGGGTCTATAGCCGAGAGTTGGGCTCAGGATTTCGGTTCTGGTTGCGGTTGAGCATTTCGTAAAGCGGACCTTCACATTTCGGACCAAGAGTGTCGCGCTCTTGGGTTTAGGTCGAAGGCGAACAGGATGTGGGGCAATGTACTGGACGGTAGGATATGCTGTTTATAAGTGTAGCATCTAGACGAAAGTTCGCAGCTACAATTGTAGCTTGGAGAGAAGGCTGCGTTTGGACTTATTCTGGTTAGAGGTCGGGTGACATGCTGCCAGACCTCGAATGTGTCACCGAATGTACCGTAGCCAGTGTGATGCACCGCGATGCTGCACGGCAGGAAGTTCACAACAAGGCGCGCTGTGCTCACACGCAGTCAACAGCAGAGACGCCTTATGAGGGCTATGAGTGTGCTTGTGTTTTCTCAGGCAGCCCGATACCGATACCGACGGGTAGCTTCAACACGTAGTTTCAAAGGTGTAGTGGATCTGATTGATTCTGATTGTGCTTCATCACTTGCTTGTTAATCTAGAAATTGCTGTGACGAGACACAGTCAGGTAGAGCAGCCAGCCAGTGAGTCAGGCTCGCGCAGATGCATGCACCATTTCAGGGCGTTTTCGTTTTGAGACTTTTGACACGTTGTTGCAGCTCACCGACTATGAGGAGCAGAAGTATTGTCGCAGTGAGTTCACGTCAGTTCCATAGCTTTAGCTTTTTTGTTTCGTACCTGCTTGAACAATTTATGACCTGGCCTCCTCCTGGTTTATTTTCTGCAGCAAACCTGTCTGTACAAAGTCATGGGCGCTGGTGCTGCGTGCGTCGCAGTTGCAGGGATTGCGGCTCCAGCCAATGAAAGGGGACATGTTGCTGAGGGACATACTTCGCCCACGACATGTTCTAACTCACTCGCAAGCACTTCATGTTGGAGCATTGGATTTCTTGGTCACGGGCGAGAGCTTCGCGAGTCGTATTCGAACTCAGACAGCTAAAAACTGCCTGACTAGCAGCAACTTGCACGTGGCGAAGATCTGGGGACGTTTGCACAGAGTGCTCGCTACGAAGCTAGTGAGCACGCCAGTGCGCGCCTCTGCGCTCGGAGGCAAGGCCGCCTTTGTGTCTTCTGGTGTCGACTGAGTGTAGCAGACATACTCATGAGTTGCAGGCAAGTGAACTCTGAATGGTTCGTAGGTGCTGTCAGAGAGAGCTTCTGTTTTCGTGTTGTCGCCGATTCAGGCAGATGGCTGACGAAACCTTAGCTGCACCCGGCGCCAGCGGCAAGGAGGCTGCTCACGCTGTGGATTATTCGAAAACGAATTGCCAAACAGTCGCGAGTGATTGTTGTACCGATTTGTACCTCGTCATACCCAGCAGGGCCATCCAGTGATGCGGCGGTTCCACTGGTTGCAAGAACGGTCGTAAGAATCAAAATTTTGAGGACGGTAGGAACAGGCCAGAGCAGCAGCAACAACAAGAACAAAAACGTCAACAACAACGACAACGACGGCGACAACAAGAACAAGAACAATAACAATAACAATAACAATAACAATAAGAAGACGAATAACAACAACAGCAACAGCAACAACGACAACAACGGTGACATTAACAGCAACAGTAACGACTGCATCATCAACCGCAACGCCAAGAATAAGGAGCGCAAGGGCAAGAGCGAAGGCACCAACCCAGGCTGCGCAGGCCGAGCCATTGCAACAAAGCTGTTACGACGATAATCCCATTTATGCTGAAAGCCACGAGCAGCCCTGAAACTGGTCATGAGAAGTGCTGTATGGATAGACATAGGCGAGGGCCCTTGGTTGCGGAAAGCATGGGAGGCGCACACCCCACACGCACCACAGCAGTGCTGCAAGCCCAGGTGTTTTGAATGCCCTGCACCATGTAAACCGATTCTCCTACGTCAACGTGCAGGAAATTGGGACATTCTGACCGCCAAGCTTGCAGGAGACATTGCACGAAAGTGCTGAGCCGTTGGCACGAAAAAACCAAACATAATCACGAAGCTGAGAAGCCACAGTTTGAGTCTGTTGATTGTGTAAGTGTTCTTGAAATCCAAGAAGGCCCCTGAAAGTGGAGCCAGCGGCACTGGCGATGCCGGGACCTCAGCATGAAATGTCGGCATTTGTCTGAGGCCTCGGGGGTTGAGAGGGTCGGGGAGCCGCCTTCCGACCACCATCATCACTATAGTTTCCTTACGAATTATTCTTTTTGTTTTTGTTCATATAAAACCCAAGAGAATATTAAAGGTTTTGTGGTTCTAAGGGGGGTATAGACCAGCATCATCGTCATCATGACCATCCACGATCGTCATCATCATCATCGTCACGTTTGATGCTTCATTACTGTTTTCGCACAAGTAGCCCGAATGGTCCCAATGGTGGTGTCTGTGGCACTGGTGGTAGCAGTAGTGAAGTAGTAGTAATGCTGCACGCCCTCTATACGAGAGAACCTACAACGGAAGCACCCTGAATAAAATTCACCGAAGTTTCGCCTATAGTTTGGGACTTTCCGTTGGAATCTGCCTTCCAGTTGAAGGATTATTGTCGTTCTTGGTATGTTATTCTGGCAGTGCTGTGATAACGGGAGCATCCCGACCGGGCTTACACGTCGTGATGCCCCCTGTCATATAGACACAGGGCAGCTATTAGCTAGGCCGGTTGCTCTCCTGTTGCAATACGATATCCCCTGGCCAGACGGCGTCGCAAATTAAAGCGACTGCCCTGAACATGCTGAAGTCGGCACGCAACATGGCAGCAAATCCTCAGGAGCCGAGTCAGCAGCGTTTTCGAAGCCGTTGTTCCTGAAGCTCTCCACAGCCTTTGCAGTGGGGTCTTGAAGGAATGAGGTGCATGTAGTGAGACTTTACGGCTTTGGGTTTTTGTCGTCATGGGTGTCGCGACAAGGGCAAAGGCTCCCAAGCCTCATCGATTCTGCAGATGACCAGCCTCCAAGACGGCACAGCTTGTGGGAACCGACACTGTCAAATACATACGGATACAGGAAGCGTTTTACAGTGACTGCCACATTACATGCATTCATACACGTATTCCGTACATGCCGGTTTGTGTGGAGAGAGAGAGAGAGAGAGAGCGGGAGAAAGAGAGACGAGGATCGGGAAGCAAGGGATAGAGGCAGGGATAATGAGGCAGGAACGTAAGAGAGAAGAAGCAACAGGAACAAAAGAGACAGAGAGAGGGAGTGGGTCGTCCCCCGGCGGGGGCCCTGATGGCCGAAGGGCTTGTCAAGCTCCTCATGCTCATGCCCTCATGAAGAAAAAGGTGGGTGCCTTGGGCAATGTGGACGTGCGGCAGTCCCCAAGCTGGCAACATCAACAGAGCCGGAAACGTCGACACACATAAAGAGAGACACAAAAGTCATGCAGACTTAAGACACAGAGACGTGTACACATGTTATACTCATCCATCCGTCCGTCCATCCATCCATCCATCCATCCAGCCAGCCAGCCAGCCAGCCAGCCATGTATGAATGACTGCATGCATGCATGTATCCGTGCATACCTACATACATTCATAACTACATACGTACATGTACATGTACTTGTATAATGGTTCTCTACATATATACGTACATACATGCATACATATGTACATATGTACATACCTACATGCATACATACCTACATACCTACATACCTACGTCCATACATACGCACACACACACACACACACGCAAACACATCTTAGACTAATGTATCTCGCTCCGGCCTGATGAGGCAACTGCGCAGAGAACATCCCGGAAGTTTCCCCGACCATCGCCACTAGATTGACTCTGAATTCAGGGTTCCAGGGCATAAGGAGAATGAAAGCTAGTCTTTCGGGCTTGAGGTTTTGAGTTTCTTCCTGGGGCGTTGGGGGACTGCGAAGCTCCAGGCACTTGGGGTAGGGTGGCACGCATGGGACCAGCTGCTAGGAGATGATTTCGTGAAGCATCAGGGGGGGTCATGAAGGGTTCTCTGATGTGGGAGCCGGCTGCAACTTTAGCACTGTGGGGCATGGGCTTTGCCTACAAATGCGGTGCTTCACATCGCTGACCTTCCTGATGATGCCTCAGGAATCAAGCAATGAGTGGTACTTCTTGCTGCAAGTTCACTGGCCTCCCCCGATCAAGTAGGCACACGAATGCCACAGCAAGTAAATGCTGCTTGGATGGGGCAGCCTGATCACCATCCTGACAGCAACGCCTCTCGAAGCTCACTTATCGTACTTTAGGGGTCGGCATAATTCGTGAATATATTCCGATATAGTATTGCGATATATCCCAACACACTTGCCTAATCGTGAAAAACGACAATCCAAGTGTGAGAGAGCTACACCTCGGCACATCGTCTCCGAGCCGTCCGCCTCCACCAAGGTGAACTACTGGCTCCTGGCGCTTGTGATCGAAGGGGTCCCCTGCATCATCGCCTACTGCCGCTATGGCTTCGAGGTGCGACCGCCGCGGTCAGCGGCAAAAACATGATGAGTCTATGCATCGTTGAAAAGACGAGAGCTATGAGAATGACTAGAAGAACAAGACTATGCTTCTGCAACGATACCCACAGGAAAAAGTACTCACAACCTCGCACCACTGTGTTGCAGCTAGCAGAGCATTTACGGCTCTTGCAGAACGTCGACAGCCTGCAGAAGAGAGTCTCTGAACAGGGTGTTGTGGCGACGCTCGCCACGAGCCTCCTCACAGGAGCAGCTGCCTTTGGTGCTCCCTGGATTGCATCCTGGGTTCTTGTTAAGGGATTTAAAATAATTTACCATAGTTAATAAGGAACCATGCATATTCTTTACCGTAGACCCCTATTATGGTAACGCATCGGGCGCAGAGGTTTCAGGTTATTTGTTTCTCGCATGGACGGTCGGGTTTGAAGCCTTGCTATCGGAAGTTGACAGGGGAAACCCTGAACCCACCAAAGGAGATGTAGACATCTTGCAAGTTGGGAGTGTCCGAAAATTTGGGGTACCTTATTTTGGGGTCCTTATAAATCGGATCCTACTATTTAGGGTACTGTGTTAGGGTCCCCATATTTTCGGAAACTCCCAGTTATACACAAAGCAGTAAATTCAACAAAGAATGAGTGAGGAAACAGAAGTGCCATGTTCCAACAGTACATGTTGAAAGACCGCTGTATACACACCTATGCACATCCATGCATGCATGCAGACATACATGCACATACATACAGACAGGCATACCTATGTATGTATTTTTGTGTTTATGTATGTATGTATGTATGTATGTATGTGTGTATGTATGTATGTGTGTATGTATGTATGTATGTATGTATGTATGTATGTGTATGTGTGTATATGTGTATGTAAATGTGTATGTATGTACGTATGTACGGGTGTGTACATAGATATATGTGTGAAGATAGACAGACAGACAGACAGATAGATAGATAGATAGATGCAAGAGCATACATACACATACATTCCTGCCAGCATGCATGCATGCATGCGGTCATACATGCATGCATACATGCGTACATTCGTACATGCATGCATGCATACCTACGACCGACATTTATTGTCGTATGCTATGATCTGCCAAGAGTGCGAGGCTGGTCTGCTTGGTGGCCTCATCGTCTCACGAGTTGAAGGACCCCGTTTTTTTGCAGTAGCGGAGCATTGATCGAGCGTAGCTCTCTCTGGGCAAAGGGTTGAGGTTTAGGGTTTGACGGTTTGTAGTTGTAGCAGTGCCTGGGACTGGGTTTAACTGGGTTTAGGAGGGCGAAACGCAGAGTTCCGGTTTCGGGTTTGAGAGAAGAATCAGAATCACCGAGTCGACCACTCACCCATCTGTCAAGGTCCAGAAAAAATCCCCACCGAGTCTTGGCAATAGTTTAAAACCAATAGAAAAATGCCAGCACAATGTTGCCAGTACCAACAACAACACCACTGACAACATTATTCAAAGCAGTAGAAGAATAATAGGAATAGTAGTGAACATAAGAACAGTATATTTATGTGAATGCCTGTAAGCCCAGAACAAAAGGCCCGTCAGATTTCGTGTTGTGCATCCCAGCTGCTTCGAAGCTTCGCGCTTTCAGGAGCAAAATATTTCGATACTGGGTTGCCTGGCTGAAATGGAAAGTCTAGGCTTCTGTTGATTTTGGAGTGGTTACTCAGAAATCAGTCTGTTCAGCACGGAGGCAGATTTTAATTGCAGATTCAATCAGTCTTGCTTGCTTCTGGTGCGGTTGGCTGATTTTCGGCAAGAGGGCCCGCTCCTCCACGTGTCGAAAGACTGCTTCCGCTCCTCGTATCCTCCTGATGCCTCCTCAACGCTGTCTCTACTTTTAAGAAGCACCGGAGGGCCCCTATTACCGACGCGAAAATAGTCGACAATGCGACAGTCTGCTACATCCTGAGGTCGCTCACGCGCTTTCAGACAGGTTCCTGGGTCCTGTTGGGGACGATTCCCGGCATGATGCTCCAGCCGCCCCCGGCTCAGACCTGGAGTCTAGAGGTGCCTTCACCAAGGGAGCTGAGTCAGTGTCTGAAAGAAAAGAAAGTATATATATATATATATAATAGATGCGCACGTATGTATATTATATATATATATATGTATATACGCACACATGTATCTGTTGATAGAGATGCACATCAACACATATACTGAGTGAGCACATCGAAAGAGTACGCCGTGCAGTAGTATTTACCTTCGTCGTCCTCGACTGTTGATCATCAAGAGAATCATGACGGTCACCGCCTCCATTGATGAGATCGGTGCAAAACTCTGAGAGGCCAGCTGTCGTTAAACTGTCGCAACAAGTAAGACGAAAATGCAGGCACAATTCGAGGGCTACTGTAGCAGAAGTATCAGGTTCTGCAGAAGCACATGATTAAAGACTGATGAAAGACCATGGAGCGGCTCGAGAGCAGGGGTTCTTGCCACGAACCAGACTCTTTAACAGCCACCTCAATCCCGCAAGTCAGTCTCATTGGCGATGTAGCAGGGGTCTAGTAATCCTCGAGGCAATGGCATAGTGCAAAATGATAACAAACCGACTTGAAGTACCATCACCACGATGGATCGATGTGAGCTGATCTTCCGAGCAAGAGCTAATGTGCGAGGAGGAGGAGTAGTAGCAGCAGTGGATGATGAGCAGCAGGAGGAGGAGGATCAAGAGTGATAATGGTAGTAGGCAGTAGTAGCAGGTAGTAGCTGCAATCGTAGAAGTAGTGGTTGCGGGAGTCGTATTGGTAGTGGAGCAGCGGTGGTGGTAGTCGTCGTCGTCCAGTCGTTGTCGCGATTTTCGTCGCAGCTAGAGTCGTAAGAGTGCCAGTAGTGCTAGTCATGCACCGCAACAGTGATAGATACGCTCATATCACCACCATATTGTTAATAAAGCCTCTGCAAGCTGCAAGTTCCTGTACAGACATACATATGTAACTATCATGCGCAGCACGAAGCAGAATGTAAACGGTTTCGAGCATACCCGAGGCTCAGCCAACCGTACCTTGCTGCGACTTTCCTGACGAATCTGGGCCAGCAGCTAGAAGTTCTGGGAGGTTCTGTCAATGCATGGTTGCATGAAGCCTATCCTGATCAGAACTGTGATCATTCCAAGTCTCATGTCCCATTTTCCACCACAGCCGTAAACGACTTGATGCGCAGAGGTGTTTTTGCATATGTAGTTCTGTTATATACATGCGCGGCATCTCAGCAAACGGTGTGACAGGATCGTGAGCGCTGCTCTCCTCACCTTCCTCCTCATTATGAAGGCATTGGCAGAACCTGTGCAAAGCGCCCGCTGTCGATTTGCCATCAGCAGCATGATCTATGATTCCCCTTGTCTTCCTGAATCTCCGGTAGAACTGTAAGTGCGACCGAACTCCGAGCATCCCCTAGTCCCGAGATCCTGGCAGACCAAGCCTAATTGATCCCTCCTCGCCTGCGACCTTTGTCCTCAAACCCTAGGTACCCTAAACCCAGAAGCCGTTAAGCCGCCTTCAAACCCGAAACCCTCAAACCCAAGACCCTGTAAACCATTAAACCCTCAACCCTAAACCCTATGACCCTCAAAAGCCTTCAACCCTATAAGCCATCAAGCCCTCAAAAGGCCCAAACCCTAATCCACAGCTCATGGTAGTCTGGAGGCGAACGGCTAAAGGACACGAGGGTTCCAAAAACAAAAACGCAGGAGCTGGCAGCTTGGGCCATGGGCACGACGTCTGCGGAAGACCAGGGCTTCCGAAACCTGCAAAGGCATCCCTAGCTGAGCGCGGGGACCCGGGCAAAAGCTGCGCTGCTCTGGGAGAGCCTACTAGAAGATACAAGCTGGGATATGCTACTATAAGATACCACAAGATACTAGAAGATGCTATGAGATACTGTCAGATACTATAAGATACTACGAGATACTATCAGATACTTTAAAGTACTTACTATAGAATACTTTTAACAACAGGCTCACTCATCCCAGCAGCCAGGAGTAGTTCGTCATTGACCTGAGCCCACGACGGGGGACTTTTCCGTTCTGGCACTCAGCTATGACCCCTTGCCATAGAAATAAGGTCCCGGCCCTGTCTGTGGCTGGCTCTGAAGCACTTTGTTAATGTGATAAGGTGTATGGTAATGTGTGAGCGCTCAGACTCTATACCGCAACACGCTTGGCCAAGGGCACTGTGAAAAGCCAAGCCAGGCTCGCACTGGGACATGGGGCGAGCAAGTTCCCCATTCCATACTCGGCCCCAAGACCAGGCCATAATCCCCAAGCCCTAAACCGCAGTGTTTTTCGTCTCCCCTCCGGGCCCAGGGTGCATTCTGCAATGCTTCATGGCTGCTTCAGATTTCCGCAGGGCGTAGGGCTCTGCGAGATGCATCCGAAGCGGCCGTTGTCTCCGTACCTACGAGCATACGACCTTGTTTCACCCGCTGTACAGGCGGACCGGACGAGTTGTCGCTCCGTACAGTGCGCTCGGTTCCCTTTCTACTACAATCCAGTATCGAAGCTGCAGAGGTTACGTGTTTGGTGTTTTTACAACGAACAGCCGCAGAAGGCCTCAAGAAGTTGTCGTGGTAGAGGGGACCTTTTTCTGGGCGTAATGGCGAACTTTGAGCAAGCCTTTCAGCTCGCGGTCAAAGTCCGAGGGTTTTGGTGGGCCGAGAATTCCGCACACAGGGGAGGGAGAGAGAGAAGGAAGGACGGAGTGAGATAGGGAGGGAAAGAAGAGAGGAATCGAGCATCCGAACAGACACAATATGTAAAGCCCTGCAGTGGGATGCTGGACTTGATACACCTTTGATCATTAGGGGCACCGCTGGACGTCTGACCGGGGACCACTTAACTCCGCAACTTTCGCAGCGATACCACAGGTTGCCAAAGCCTTTGAATCTACGATATGTGAACGGAAACCTGCACTAGCATTTCATAAGCAACGCCTTGTTATGAGGGCCTGTGTCGTGAGGCGGTTGTAGGGGCTCCGCATGTGTTGATGAAAGCCTCAGAATTTATCTGTTGCGTTTGTCTGGTGCGTAAACTCGAAGCCCCTGGACCAAGCACGCCCCAAGTCCTTATAACTTGTCATTGCATTACAGCCCGTGATGTTTTGCTGATTCTCACGGATGAAGGCGCTCCACCAACCAACTGGCCGAGCACCGGACATCTGGCCAAGGACTCAGGACTCCGCACCCGAATGAGTACTTGTAGTAGGAATAAGCAGTTGCAGCGGTGGTGGTAGTGTTTGCAGTAGTAGTAGTCGACGTCGTAGTAGTAGTAGTAGTAGTAGTAGTAGTAGTAGTAGTAGTAGTAGTAGTAGTAGTAGTAGTAGTGGTAGCGGTAGTGGTAGTGGTAGCGGTAGTGGTAGTGGTAGTTAGTCGTAGTAGTAGTAGTAGTAGTAGTAGTAGTAGTAGTAGTAGTAGTAGTAGTAGTAGTAGTAGTAGTAGTAGTAGTAGTAGTAGTAGTAGTCGTAGTAGTAGTAGTAGTAGTAGTAGTAGTAGTAGTAGTAGTAGTAGTAGTAGTAGTAGTAGTAGTAGTAGTAGTAGTAGTAGTAGTAGTACGTAGTAGTAGTAGTAGTAGTAGTAGTAGTAGTAGTAGTAGTAGTAGTAGTAGTAGTAGTAGTAGTAGTAGTAGTAGTAGTAGTAGTAGTAGTAGTAGTAGTAGTAGTAGTAGTAGTAGTAGTAGTAGTAGTAGTAGTATTCGTAGTAGTAGTAGTAGTAGTTGTAGTAGTAGTAGTAGTCGTAGTAGTCGTCGTAGTAGTAGTAGTAGTAGTAGTAGCGTAGTAGGTAGTAGTTCGTAGTTAGTAGTAGTAGTAGCAGGTAGTAGTAGTAGTAGTAGTAGTAGTAGTAGTAGTAGTAGTAGTAGTAGTAGTATAGTAGCATTATAGCAGCAGCAAAATGAGTAGTAGTAGCAGTAGTCGTAGTGTTAGCAGCAGCAACAGGAGCAGCAGTGTTGCAGTAGCACGAGCAGGAGAGGTGGCAGTGGCAGCTCTTCTTGTTGATGTTGTTGCTGTTGTCGTCGTCGTTGTTGTTGGTAGTGGCGGTGTGGTCGTTGCAGTTGGTCTTTGTTGTTGTTGTTGTTGTTGCTACTTGTGTCTTGCTTCGCCTTGTTCTCACAACTATTCAATATTCGTGTTGTCATTGGTATCATTATGGTTCCTTTTCTTGTTCTGGTTGCCGTTGTAGTCATATCTGTTGATATCCATTTGTTACTGTTGGTGTGCAGATGGTGGTGCTGTTGTCAGTATGCTAGGAACAAGTTTGTGCCAGTTCGGGTAGAGCTTAAGACTATCAGTTTGTCGGTGATCATTTGTACCTGTGCCTTTGCTATGCCGCCTGCAGCCTCTTCCGGCCTTCTATGGCTGCATGTTCTATTTGCTGCGTACGACACAGCCGTCGGTAGCCTACATATTATTGTTCTATGAGTGCCCATTTCTACTCTTAAATTAAACACCATAAACAAACCAGGCAGCCTACATATCATAAGACCGAAAACAAGAATACCAGAAGCCTTGAACTCTGAATAACATAAAACTTAACCCGGAGCAGCAATGTTTTTCACGTCGACCGAGGCTCTTGAGCAGGATCCTCGGCAGGGCCATTGATTTCCGGATTCTGTTTTCTGCATGTCTGCGACTAGAGGTTTAGTGTTTGGGGTTTGGGTCGCGATTGCCTGACACTTTAGCTGGTTTCCTTCGCGAACTGCGGGTTCCTTTTGTTGATGGAGGGGACCGGGTTCCGTAGAGCTCAGAAGCAGACTAGTTAGGGGCAGCCTGTATCGGAGTCACGTTCTGGCCCTTGGTACCTTCTGGTTATGGTTGTATATATATATATATGTGTAGAGGTATAGATAGAGATATAGATAGAGAGAGAAAGAGTATACACACATGTTTATGTGTGTGTATATATATATATATAGATATTAATATGTGTACATACACACTCACACACAGACATACACAGGCCGGGGTTTACAAGAGTCGGTGGCCACATGAAGGGCTGTGAACTCTGTAAGAGAAGTTCCCATGAGCAGCCGTTTGACAGGAGACAGTTTTAAGAATGAATGCCAGCCTTGCTCTGGTGCATAGGAAGCAATTGAGCAGTCACTTCTGCGACCTCTGTTGCACCAGTGTCATGCTAAAGGAGCCTCGGAAGCCGCCGCCGCAGCACTCACCCGGTACTGTTACCAAGATCCATGATGCGGGCAGTGGGACATCCTGACACAAGTTGTCAACGGACTCTGCCCAGCAACAGATGAGTAGTCGGAGCGATATGCAACTCCGCAGACAGCAAACGCAACACGAGCATGTGTGCGGGACAGAACTGAGCATTCTAAGTTGCGTCTGCATTTTCTGACCCGCTCGAGGCTCTACCAACCTGCTTACATCAAATCGCCCTCACCGACCAACAGTTCGGAAGGCCGGCCAAGAGCTACGGACTGTGATGGGTGTCCGTGGGTAGGTTGATGTCCAACAAGACATACACGCTCAGGGGGTCTGAGCTACATTACCAGATTTCGTGCTTGGGGTTTGAGGGGGGATAAAGCGGCGGGGTCAGGAATGCCCCAACTTGCCTGAAGAACTGAAAGACTGTGAAAGGCCTCATCTTCCCGTTGCAGCCGCTGACGCTTCAGGCCTTTCCCCTTTTTTGGGGGAGTTGTATAGTAAAGGCTGAAGAATCATATCAGTGATGATATTGTTACCACATGGTCCCTTCATAATCATGGACCCTCACCGTTGCCCCCCCTCCTCCAAAGCTTAATGAAGCCGCAAGTATTATCAGGTTCTAGGAGGTTGTCGGAGATTCGAGATCCTTGCACTCGAGCATCTCCCTGCGAGATGCGCAAGCAGACCTGAGATACCTCATCTCAACATGTAACAGTTGGACATTAACAATAAGAATGGGGTTTGGGGTATATGATACTACATATACTTGTAAAGGGGTATAAGGAGGCACCATTCTTCGTCTATCTCCAACACATATATGATCAGACACATCAAGATGCGTGGATGCACTTTTCCCAATACTGGAGGGGAACACCACGAAGACGAGTAGTCAGCACAGCAACAAAGACCGTGGTAGTATTTTGGTATTTCCGAGTGGTCGAAGTAAGAGCAGCTGTGCTACCGCTGCTACGACTGTAGCACTACCGAGTGTGACGATGCGATGCAAAGCCGCGTGAACAAATGGTTGTTTCTGTGTTCATTTGACACCCTTCCGCGGATTTTGGCAACTCGCAAGCGGTACAGGTGGGTCCTGGGGAGCATGTCGCACTGGTGGGAGCTTCCGGCGCCGCCAGCTTGCAGTGATTCCTGAGTTCGGTGAACGATCGCATCGAGGGGTGCTTTTGCTGTGTGATAGCCTCCACGCTTGTTGGTAAGACTTCCTGAAGCCAGCAACGTTCATGTTCAGCAGCTTTGGAATTCTTCGACTGCGCCTTGAGGCCTAGAGACGCGAGGCCGTTAGGCTCCCCTGATTTCTCGAGAGATACCCCGTAATCCTGGAATCACAAGCCTCGAAACTCTACATTGGTCTCAGAGACTGAGGATAGGGTTTTGGGGGGCCTTATAATAAGGAACCCCCAAAATTTTATAGGTAATGATTAAGGCCCCCCTATGAGGCTGGAAAGAGCACGTTGATGGCTGGCCTCTCTCGTCTCCTTCCAGTGAGCCGCGGTCGAAGCCTGGCCGAAACAAGTTCGGCTTTTTGGCCTTTTTTCTCGGTTCTTTTTCACTTGGGAATTTAGGGTCTCGGAGTCTGCTGCTTAGGTGCTTTCTC